CGCCGCCACCTCCCGCCCGGGCCGCCGTGTCGCCCGGCCGCAGACCCAGCGACTTCCGCTTCCCTCACGGCACTTCCGGCAAGGAAGCGGCGAAACGAGACCCAGCTGCTGCGGGGAGGGATACGCGCAGGGCGCCACCGCGGAAGAATATGCTCACTCCCCATAGTTAAATAGTCCCTGTCTGGGCTGCCCCGGGGGCTTTTTTTCCCGCTGGGAAGTGATCCCAGAGTCCAACGGGGGCGGGAGCGGGGCTGGGCGGTAGCGGCGGCGGGACGAGGGGCTGCAGCCCACGGGGGAAGGTTGGGCAGCCTGAGGTGGGAGCCCCAGGCAGACGGCGAGCACCCAGCACCCAGGCAGGGAGAGCAGAGGGACGGTATTGGGGCTTAAGGACAATAGTCGGGGTTAAGCATGTGAGGATTTTAAACGTCATCTCTCAAAGGGAGTAAGAATTGTAAGGGCAGGCAAGGGACTTCAAAAACTCCATGCACAAACAACTGCTCCGTCAGTGCACTGCCCCTGATTTTATAGGTAAGTCAGCACCAAAAAAAAGATGAAAGCAGCATTTAATAAGAAGTTACAGCAGAGTGGTAAGTTACAGCAGACCCCCCCACCTCTGAAAGAACTCTAGACAGAAAGAAATGATACAATTCCTATAACTTACAAGAGAAATTTAGGCTATGTGAGGCTGTCGGACTCTTCACTTCCAAACAGGAGAACTGTTACTATTAAACAAAGGAACATTTTCCAGGATTGATTTTGGCCTTGATCCTGCTTTAAGCACTAAAAAAAAAAATAAAAAATATAGCCCTCTGCACCTATATAAATGAGAACTCATCAGCCAAGAAGAGACTGTTTTGTTTCTTAAACCCGAATATTCAATGAAGTAAGACAGTACACAAAGTCGCAAACGTTCAGAAGATATATTAAACATCCAATATGGCAAATACACAGAATTACACGGCAACCCCGCTCAGTACAAACAAAACCCAGCTCCTGATCCAAAGCCTTGAAAAGCAGTCCCTTCACTTAGTCCAGCTGACTTTAGGAATGTCGTAATGCTCAGTCAGAGTATCCAAGTGCCTGTTGAAATCCTAGGGGAGAGAAGGAGAAAGAAAAACGTTTAAAGATTTGCTGCTGACGGCACCGTCACTGAGCCACAAGACCCTCAGCCTCCCCGCTTCTGTGTTTCACAAAGGCGAACCAGTTCCTCCAGCCCAACACGCCTGCGTGCTCATAAACAAACACCGGCCTGAGAAAACCGGGATCATTTCCCTTACCTCCACTCTCTGCTTATGGGTTTTCGACGCTTTCTTCAGGATCCTCTCCATTTGCTGGAGGAAGACACGAGAGGCCGGTTACTCCCAGCCCCTGCAGCCCCCCCAGGGGCCGCATCTGAGGGGTCCATAAGGGTTTTTAATCCCCCGCCCGAAGCCCCAGACGGGGCAGGGCAGCCCTACCCGCTTCTCCTGCATCTTCTCGTAGGCCACCTGCGCCGGGGTCCGCTTGTCCAGGCCGCGCTTCTTCTCCTCCTCCTGCTTCTTGCTGCTCACGATCTGCTCCAGGATCTGGGCCTTGTCCTTCGCCTTTTTCTTCTTCCTGAGGGCAGAGGGCGGTCAGCGCCCCGACCCGGCTGACCCTCCCCGGTGTCGTCCCCGGTCCTCCCCGGTCT